CACTCTGAAGTCTGGGTCCAGTGAGGGACACAGGCAAGTAGACATATACCTGGCTCATGAGAGGGCTGTCATTAGGGATAAAACAAAAGGCAGGGGATAAAGGGAGAACAGAGGAGAAGAACCACAAACAAAGTTCCACAGCTGCATTATGAACGTCAATTTAGACTGACCATTAGGCTGATGAATTTGATTGAATTTAACCCTCTGGCTCTTGGAGCCTGTGGCCGGCAGTTCAGGGAGAATGACAATACAACACAAAGCCACTCTCTGCCAAAAGGGGCTGCTCTGAGACTTTTCCAGCTATTGGCATGTTTCTGGGGCAAGAGAAAGCAGGACGGGGTGGAAGAACCCTCCAGCCCTCAAGTAGAGGCAGGGCATGAGACAGTATCTGAAGTTCTGTCTGATGTACAGTTTAAGCCAGGTCAGCCTAGGATGGCAGTTACCGAGAAGTAGTTTCGTCCAGAAGTGGTGATAACTGTCTTGATCTGCAGGGTTGGGTCAGATGCCATTGCCCAGCACCATCTGGGTTTTGTGCTCGGGAAACTGGGTTCAGAACAGCCATTCTAACTATGCCCAACATACAAGAGATTGAGATTTGAATAGCTTGGGGGAGGTAAGGCAACATCTAGATCAAAATCTAGAATAGATGGACACAGATATTTATGGAGCACAAGTTCAGGCAGGCAGATAGTTGGATCCAGCATAAAAATGTTTACATTTTAAACTGTTCCACTAACTTAGAGATGCTATAGGAATATAATAAGGAATGTTAATGAAATAGAAGTCATAGTATGTAACTTTAGATTCAGGTTAAGATGCATTCGATCATAAGAAAAAAAATTCGTCTTCTGCCTGGATATTTCTTTTCTTTCCAGGAGTCTAGTCTAGCCGACATTGGATAAACAAAACAATCCACTTCCCATCTCTCACACTGAAGCTCCTCTCAGACCAGAAAGGGACAATTTTCAGGGTCTTCTGCTGACCCTCCAAATTCATCTCTGTGGAAATAAGACATGTATGTCTCAACAAACTTGAAACAAAATGCAGTGTGCTATAAACCTTATACATTGCCCATAAATAAGCCATCTATCTCTGCAAAGGGATTTCCACCTTCCCCTATATAAGCTTTGCTCCTTTTCCATTCAAATAACCAAGTCCAGTTTCCCAAAGCTATCCCTGGGGCAAGGAGCAGCGACACGAGGCCAGTGCACACGTGTAGGGAAAAGGACAAGTGTGAAGAGGGGAGGGGAGGAGGGGTTACCCAGTCCCCTGGTGAGCATGCTGGTGGGTCCTGGGAGAGTGTGCCCTGTGTGACCTCTCCAGAAGCACTGAGAAGAAACGGAAGAGATCTGGCAGCAAGTGTGGCGGGCCTAGAGCCAGTGCCGACTGAGCTGTGATTATGTCCCATTCCGCTGGGTATTTGCCTACGGTCACTAGTGTCCTCAAAACCTGTCTGTTCCTGGGCTTCTCACCAGAGGCTCTTCTGCTTGCCAAGCAGGGAGCAGATCAACTGGCCCTGGGACAGATTGGGTTGCTGGGAGGCTGGTGCTGGGGGGCTTAAAGGGGCAGAACCTCCAGCCAGGTGGTCTCTCAGGACTGGTGAAGGGCATTGCAGCATGAAGGATCTACTGGGATCTGTTCTAGCTTATCATGCACCTCTAGTCCAGAGATAATTTTGCTTTTTGTTCAGCCATCAGGACAGTAAAGGTTAGAGGGAGGCAGCCGCCCTTGGGGGTGAACAGCTGCCTCTGTGGGCCCCATGCTTTGGTTGAGTGTGGCAAGAAAGGAAGTGCTATTCTCCTTTGGACACTCAAATTTCAATTAAAAATCCTTTTTTTTAAAAGATTTATTCATTTATGCATGCAAGAACTGGCCAGAAGTGTGGGGCAGTGAGAGGATTCACCAGACACAGAGTGGGGGAGTAGAACAGGTAGATTGAGTGAAGTACACTGCTGAGGGGAGCAGCGGGGGATACAGGGAAGTTCTGCCACGCCATGTGGGTCAGCTCCCTGGCCGGGAATTGAAGTCATGCTGCAGTGACTGCAGACAGCTTCATAGTGTGGCACTTTAACCCCTTGCATCATCAGGGAGGGTCCTTAAAGTCCTATATACTTTTTAAAGATTTGTTTATTTATGCATACAGAACTGGGGTACAGGCCAGAAGTGCAGGGATGGTGACAGGATTCACCAGAGACAGAGAGGGGAGCAGAACAGGCAGACTGAAAAGTGCACTGCTGTGGGGAGCAGCTGGTGGGTCAGGAAAGGTCTGCAGCTCCATGTGGGTCACCTCCTGGACAGGAGATGGAACTTGCACTGAAGCAGCTGTGGCAAGCTTTGTAGTACTGTGCTTTAATCTGTTACACCACCAGGAAGGAACCAAATTCCTATTGTTAAAGATACCCACAGCAGGCCCTCCCTGGTGGCACAGTAGGTTAAAAACACAGCACTGATAAGCTAGGGCCACATCAGCATGAGTTTGATCCCCACCCCAGGAGGTGACCACATGGCACAGCAGACCTCTCTTGACCCAACTGCTGCTCCCCTCAGCAGTGTATTTAAAAAAAAAAAAAAAAAAGATACCCAAAGGGACCATGGAAGGCTAGCATTGCAGCCTTCCAAAGCCAACTTTCTGGGAGAGACCTGAGTTGTTCTAAGACTTGTACCATTCCATGGATGTATAACAATCTCTGCTGTCTACAATAACCTCTGGTGCCCAGTGGTGGTTGAAATTTAAACACTATAAAATTTAGCCCAGCCCCTCAGTTACATCAGCCACTTTCATAGCCTCAGTAACCACGTGGTGGTGGTGACTGCGATATTAGAGTAGACAGAGTGTTTCTATTGTTCCTGAAATTTCCATTGTATATTCTTGCTGTACAGATCATTGTGTAGAGAGGGATACACACCGAATAAGCTGGAGGGGAAGGGCCCAAGTCAGCTGAGGTGGGGTAAGGATGATGAAGCCCATGGAGAATGGAAAAGCTTCTGAGAGCTGCACCCTGTGGAGCCAGTGAGGCTCTGAGTCTCCTCAGCCCTCATCTTAGCCTCACCCTGAATGCTTTATCTCCCCAGCTCTGAGTCCCTCCCTCCTCTTTCCATATAGCTCCCTGTGTCCTCTCATCCACTCCCTGGCTTTACTTGCCATCTTCTTCAGAAAATTTTTTTCAGCATTGTGACCTTGTCTATACAAGCCAGTGGATCTCAAACGATATCAGAATCTTCAAAAGGTTTGTTAAAAGACAGATTCCTAGGCCTCATCCCCAGTTTCTGACTAGTAGCCCTGGGTGGAGACGCAGAATATGTACTGCTAACAAATTCCCAGCTGACACTGATGGTCTGGGAAACACTTTGAGAAACACTGATTCAGGACCTCTGGTGGTACAAGGGTTAAAGACACACGGTGCACAGTGCTATCAAGCTGTCACCAGCCACAAGCTTGATCCCCAGCCAGGGAGCTGACCCACATGGCCCAGCAGACCTCTCCTGTCTCACCTGCTGCTCCCCTCAGCCAAGTACTTCGTCGATCTGCCTGTTCTGCTCCCTACTCTGTCTCTGGTGAATCCTCTCAGCCCCTGCATCTCTGGCCTGTACCCCAGTTCTGTGTGCATAAATAAATAAACCTTTAAAGACAGCACTGATTCATCCATTCAACAAAGACTGGTTGCGCGCTACTGCATGCCAGAGCTCCTCATTGGTATAAACAAACTAGGCAAATTTCCTGCTCTAGAAAATTTCCTAGAACTTGCATTCTAGGGAGAAAGGTGGTAAACAAACCTGCATCTGGTGATAATGTTATGAAAAAAATAAAGCAGGGCAAAGGGAGATGGTTAATTCATAGAGACATCAGAGAAGGCCACACTGAGATGACATTTGAGGAAGACCTAAAGAGTGGCAGGGAGGGGCAGAGAGGGAGCACACGACTCTGTCTTTTCAGGTACTGCCCGCAGCTTTCCTTTTTTTAAGATTTATTTTATTTATGCATACTGAACTAGAGTACAGTCCAGAGGTGCAGGAGAAGTTACAGGCCAGAGGTGCAGGAGAGGTGAGAGGATTCACCAGAGACAGAGTGGGGAGCAGAACAGGCAGATTGATGAAGTACACTGCTGAGGGGAGCAGCAGGCAAGACAAGAGAGGTCTGCTGTGCCATGTGGTCAGATGTGGTCAGCTCCCTGGAGGGGATCGAACTCATGCTGAAGTGGCTGAGCCAGCTTCACAGTGCTGTGTTTTAACCCGTTGCGCCATCAGGGAGGGCCCGCCTGCAGCTTTTTAATTAGACAATATTGAAAATCAATGTTTTCAGTCTCCTCATGATTATCCATTTGAAAACCAATTTCATCATATGTATATGTGTTTTCTTAAAAAGAATTTGATCCTAAAGGTCATAGATTTGACCCCAGCTTGCACTTCCACTTTTGGCTCCCAGAAAATGTGTCCACACCCTTTTCAGTGGTGTGAGGCATCCCGAGGGCTAAGAGGGTCCCCACAAGGAGATTGTATCCCCTTGCTCAATGATGCTTTAGGGTTCCGATTTTTACAGCTCCAGCCTTTGCAGGGATCTTCTCCAACCCTAGCCCCTAGGCCTGTGTAGCGCTGGGTGGGCAGAGCTAGGACCTAAGAGGTTCTAGGACATAAACATCTGAGGGTCTTACTGAGGAGCGCCAGAACCGCCATGTGAGGAGGGGGGCCAGAGAGCCGGCTGAGGGCCTTGTTTATCTTCTTGTCCTGGATTCTGCAACTATCAACACGTATCTGAACAAATGGTTGAATGCTTCTTACTCTATCCAGCTCCAGACTCCAGAAAGAAGAGTTTAGGGCAATCAACACGTGGCCACCATTGTTGGAAAAATAACCCCATACTGTAGCAACCACAAGCCAGTAGCTTACAGGGGAGGTCAGTCCTCACCCCTCTTATAAAATAAACACAAGCCTTTAAGATGAAGTGCCAACTGTATGCTAATTAACACCTAATTTTCCTTTTCAACCTGTGATATCTTTTTTAGGCCCAACTGTCTCAGGCTTTAAATGGCGTTTCTGATAAGGCAAAAGAAGCGAAGGAGTTTCTGGTTCAACTGAAAAACATTCTGCAACAGATACAGGTGCGTGTAGCTCCAGCATTTAGAGGGGATTGGTATAGGAGGTGTCCAGGAAATGTCAAGAAGACAGGAAAGCATTTGCCCAGAGATAGGCTTCTTTAGAAGGTTTAATTGTCATAACAGTCTTTGATGTTACAGACTCAGGCCATAGCCGCTTCAGTGAGAGACACCTGATACCATGGCATCACAGTGACACTCGAGAAGGAAAAGGGTGAGCTCAGGAGCTGGGAGATTGGCAGGAAGAAAGCAGGGCGGGCAGCTGTACCACACTCGGCACGGCCATGTTAGTTCTGTGTAGCATCTGTAAAGAGTGCTTTTGTAGCCATGGTATCAACCTAACTATGATTCATGCAAATATGTTATTATATATCTACATCAATTACTACAGACATGTGTTTATTGAGCACTCAGCTTTCACACAAACTGAGCCCGATGCAGATCAATAAGGCATAGTCTCTGGCCTCAGGGGTCCGGTCCTACAGAAAAAAGGAGCCACTGTATAAATAACAACACGTGGAGGAGCCGTATATATGGAGGATGAATGTTAGCGGCCCAGGGTGTAGGTGGAGAAAAGGTACTGAGGCCCTGAGATGTCACTCCACGATGAAAACCTTCTCTCCTAGCACACATAGTGCAGAATTCAGCCATAGGTCTTCTTAAGTCATCTCTCTGATGCTTGAGAGACAAGAGGCGTAGCTGTGGTTGGGTCTGCTACCACAACGTGCACAACATGAGTGGTTTAAGCAACAGCAATGTTTCTTACAGTTCTTGAAGTTGGACTTCCCAGCCCAAGGTGTCGGCAGGTTGTTTTCCCCGAGGTCTCTCCCTGGGTTTGCAACGAATGTCGTCTTCCTGTGTCCTCACACCGTTGTCCTCTGTGTGTGCTATGTTCTGCTCTCTTCTTCACAGAAAGATATCTGTCAGATCGTGTCAAATCCACCTCAATGACTTCCTTTAAAAGTAATTGCCTCTTTACAGGCCCTGTCTCCAGATACAGTCACATTCTGAGATGCTGGAAGTCAGGACTTCAGCATGTGAATTTGTGGAGGGATGTAATGAATTCATGCTGCTCTTAGAGTTCAACTAAGAGACAGCCCCTAAAACCAGAACACTCGTACAACTGAGACAGCCCCTAAAACCAGAACACTGCTTTTTAATTTTTTTATTATTTTCTGACTGTAAAAAACAAAATATGTGTTTCAGAAATTTTGGAAAGTAGAAAATAATCTATAGAACTAACAGAAAGCTCACCAATATCTCACTACCTGGAGTGTCCAGTTCTCCACGTCAACATGTTGTTTCATGACTTTAGACACACATGCGTGCACCCATGTAAACCCTAGATGAGATTTTGCTGTACATAATTTGTAGCTGGGTCCCCCACCCCTTCTAATCAGCCTCCCATTGGTATGTTCCATGATATTAAAGACTCTCAGAGCAATGTCTGAGTGACTGTGGACTATTCCACCACATACACATGCCGAGACCCATGGTATCTCTCCTCTATCTCCTGTTTATGTGGTTTCCAATATACTAACCTTACTGCTAACTTTGGGAGAGCTTCTCTCAGATTTCTTTGTCTCTAACACTTGCGAATCTGGCATGTCTTCTCTCATATTCTGCTTCCCACAGGAAAATGGACTGGACTATGAAGCCTGCCTGGTTGCTCAGTGTGACGCACTGGTTGATGCTTTAACTAGGCAGAAAGCCAAGCTACTCACCAAGGTTACTAAAGAAAGGGAACACAAGCTGAAGGTAAGAACTAACATGTTCAGTCCCCATCACAGCCTCTGACCCAGTGTGAGATGAAGCATGCTGGATCAGTATTAGGTGACAAAGTGGATGGATGGATGCATAAATGGGTGGATCATTGGAGGGAGGGAGGGAAGAAGGGAGGATGGGGAAATAGCAGGTGGAGGGAGGATAGATGAATAAATACCACAAGAAAGAAGTGTGTTGCCCCTGACCTACTTACACCCATGTGATGTTCCCTAAAACCAGTCAATACCCATGCTCTCTCTCCAAAGATGAAATCAGACACCATGAATCTTGTTATTTTCAAGTCAAAAGTCTATCCTCTTCCATCAGCTCTAAGTTCTTATTTTCTAAGGGTCTTCCCCCCACTTTTTCTTTGCATAAAAGAACTGGGGAGTAGGCCAGAGGTACAGTGTGTGAGAGAGTTCATCAGATACGTACTAGGGAGCGGAACAGGCAGGTTTACTGAAGTACACTAAGGGGAGGAGCAGACAAGACAGGAAATGTCTGCTGTGAGGGTCAGCTTCCTGGCTGGGGATCAAACTCAGGCTGTGATAGCACTGAGACTTAATTCCTACACCATCAGGGAGTCCCTAAGGAACTCCTCTTATTCTCATCTTGCACACTAGAAGTGACCAGTGACAGGGATGTGTCTGTGTCTGCTGAGATCTTCAGTTCTGCCTCCTTCTTTCTCTGATAGCTCATGTACTCATTATAATTGCTGCTGGTAATAACATGACCAACATCCACTGCAGGCCTGGGAGTGTCTACTGAGTCCAGGCAGGTGCCCTGTGAACACTCCGCATTGACAAAGGACTGCTTCATTGTCCAGGGGTCTTGACCTACTTTATAGACAGTTCCCAAGTGAATGGGAAAGTATTACTTTCAGTGGAGGATTATGGGTGTTTTGGTGGTGGGTGTGGTATGGTAATATCTGGGAAAGCATGAAATTCCTAAAATCATAAACAGTGTTGTAAACCAAAATTACCTCCATTAAAAAAAATGGAGGTAATAGAATTTAGGGCCCTCCCTGGTGGCTCAGTGGTTTAGGATGCAGCACTACAAGCTGGCCGCAATGGCTTCGGGACAAGTTCGATCCCCAATCCTGGAGGTGGCGCAGCAGATCTCTCCTGACCAGCCCGCTGCTCCCCTCAGCAGTGTACTTTGTCAACCTGCCTGTTCTGCTCCCCACTCTGTCTCTGGTGAATCCTCTCACCACCCCTGTACCTCTGGCCTGTATCCCAGTTCTCTATACATAAATTTTAAAAAATCTTTTAAAAAATAGAATTAAAGGAAAAAAATAGATTACTTTCAAAGAAAAAAGGATCGAATGTTGGTGATGGCCCATGGCTTAGAGGCAAAGCAACTGAGCCCATCAGTTACCCCTGGCCTCCCTACTCTGACTAGTAAGAAGGGAAATCAGATGTTATCACTGGTAAGTCCACATGGAGAGTCTCAGCTGACACCCTTCTCTGCTTTACTATCCAGAGTTCAGGAGTTTGCTCTGTTGGAGGGTGTGCTGTGGGTAGGGGTCCCTTTGACCACAGCTGGAGCTCAGGAACAGAGCTATGAAGGGACGCAAAGAGGTCTGGCCCAGCGCTGCCTCCTCTAGGGCGGACTCTAAGCTGTTTCTCCGGCTCTCTGCCACCAGATGACTCCGGAATGAGCAGTTACCAGGGATTCTTCTATTGCAGATGGTGTGGGACCAGATCAATCACTGCACATTGAAGCTGCGCCAGTCAACGGGACTGATGGAGTACTGCCTGGAGGTGATCAAGGAGAACGACCCCTCCGGGTTTCTGCAGGTGAGCTGGCTCCCAAGGACACCTGATGGACTTGGTTCTCTTCCCACAGCTGTTTCACTGCCCCTCGCCCAAACTAGTTGAAGTTTTAGAAAGTTCCCTTCCAATGACTTGGACTTGGGTAGATTCTCCTTTGCTCAGTGATTCCAAAAGATGTAGGTTTTCATCTTGGCTCTGCCTTTCACTAGCTGTGGCCATTTCTGTTATGTATTAAACGAGGAGGTCAAAGGGCATCATCTCAAAGGCCAAAATTCCATTTTTTACGCTCAGGCTACCAGAGGGCCTGATGCAACATCCCCCAATGGGAAAGGAGAGTCTTTCTTAAATAAGTTACAAAGATTGCACAGGAAGAAGTGAGTTTGTGGAATCTAAAGGACGCATTGCTCAATGTGCGGAGTCCTGCAGACCTGGACAGATGACCACCGCCTGAGGGGTCTCTGCAGCTTTGCCAGGGGGCTCTCTAGCAGCCAGGTCATGAGCGTCTCTGAGGAGCATGGCAATGATTCAGATGGGAACTCAGTCCTCTGTGAAGAAAAGGATGAATCCTTTTGATGAGTGCCTGAGAAGCATGCAGGCACACATACAAATGTTTGAAGGAGCAGGACTTTCCAGCAGAGTGGAGAAGAGAGCTGCAGGTGTCAATCAATGAAAATTTGAAGCAGAAACGCTCAGAAGGAAACACTTGAGCATGGAGTCACAGTGAGCTTCAAAATTCTGATGTTATAATAAATGCTTTCTTCATCTATTTTTTTTTAAAGATTTATTTGTGCATACAGAACTGGGGTACAGGCCAGAGGCTCAGGGGCGGTGAGAGGCTTCACCAGAGACAGAGTGGGGAGCAGAACAGGCAGATCGACGAAGTACACTGCTGAGGGGAGCAGCAGGCGGGTCAGGAGAGGTCTGCCACACCATGTGGTCATCTCTGGGGCAGACGGGAATCGAACTCAGGCGGAAGCGGCTTTAGATTCTCAGTGCTGTGCTTTAACCCACTGTGCCACCAGGGAGGGCCTCTTCATCTATTTTTAAAAGTATCAGCCGCTTCACAAAAGGTTTTGACCTCATAAAGGTTTTTGATCTTTAATAGCAAGTGCGTCTTTATGTTTAACATGTGCATACTTTTAAAATACGGTTTAAAACGTACAAAGCATGTTATCTGTGCAGTCTCTCACTGGTGAGGAAAGCCCATTCGCTTCCCTGGGAGAGGCGAAGCCTTTTCTCCTTGCTCACCACTGGCTGCACACTTTTTCTTTTGTAAGCTGAAACCTTAAACTCTGTTCCCTTTAAGATCTCAGATGCTCTGATCAAGCGTGTCCAAGTGTCTCAGGAGCAGTGGGTCAAAGGTGCCCTGGAGCCAAAAGTGTCTGCGGAATTTGACCTGACTTTGGACAGCGAGCCGCTGCTGCAGGCCATCCACCAGCTGGACTTCATTCAGATGAAATGTAGGGGTGAGCCGTGGTTGGCCCAACTCAGTGCTTCACTCTGAGGGGCGTCACTCGGAAGAGGCCGTTCAGTGGCACTGGAACCCTTATGATACATTACTCGAGGCAAGGGGGAGGGGGATGCCAAGTCACAGACTCAGGGTCAAGTCCCACCTCTGCCACCCACTGGCTGTGAGGCCTAGCACAGGTAGCATCCAGTATGGGTTTGTAAAGGTGAATCACCTGTTCATTTGGAGACCCTTAATGCACACGTGCCAGACACTATTTACCATGTTCAGAGTACACAATCTGAGCAAACCTACAAACTCCCTCACAAGGCTAGAGAAGGAAATAGATAATACACAGACAGTCTACGATAGGGTGTCTGATAGTGGCAGGTGCTAAGAAAAGGTGCTTTTCTGGTGAAGGGGACAGCAGTATATACGGGAAAGAGGCAAGGGGAGTATTTTGAAGTGAAGAGAAGAGAGATGCAATACAGGGAATAACATTCCAGTTAGCTCAGGGCTGTGCAAAGGTCCTGGGGCAGGGATATGTTTTCTGTTTTCCAAGAAGAGCAGAGAGGTCAGAGGTGGCAGCAGAGCCAACAAGGTAGAGGATGAAAGGTGATCAGATAGTCATGCGACACAGCTACGGGTTTAAGTTTGCGTAAGTTGCCCACATTACAAAATGAGCAAATGATGGCCAAAACCAGAGACTTGTTCTGAAGTCTGACTCTTCAGAGGCATCAAGGGTCCATTCAGGAGAGGGAATAAAGTTGTTTGGCTTTGGTTTTTTTGCTTTTTTTTTTTTTTTAACTAAGTATCACAGGACTGAGTGCCACACCTATAGAATCTGTGCACTCAGGAAAATCCTTACCTGCGAAATATGTGGCCATTTTTAAACCACCACCCCCCAAAACAAGTCTTTTGCTCACTCCCACACTCAGCTTACAGGTTGGGTGAGATTCGGAAATATCACCTGCTCTAGGTGTAAATGAGCTTGTGCTGAGGAGGAGGAACCTGGCCTACTGGGGTTGCTGAAGGAGGGGTGGCTTTGTAACTTGGGGATGTGGGAGAGGGAGGTTGGGGATGTTTTGATGGGATGGGGTAGTGGAAATCACAAGGGAAGCTGGAGAGGGAACAGCAGAGTCTAGAAGCAAAGAGATAATGTCTACATACTCATTAACTATGGTTTGGAGAATCAGGCTGAGCTCAGCCAGTCCTGAGAGCAAATCTATAAGCAGGACAGAGATTGCCTTCCATGAAACCATCAGTTAAACCTGCCCAGTTAGACGGTGCCCTAATATTGAGAGCCAAACTGAAATCTGTAGCTTTTACAAAACAGGGGTTGCAATTTTTCCTTTAAAAATGTGTCCATATCGACTATGTTTCTAAAATCTTTTGACACTGAACACCACTAGGAAATAAAAATAGCAAGAGGAAAAAGCAAACATCACAAGTTATGATACATTTGATTCAAATCCTTTATTTTATGCATTGACTGTCTAATGCTCTAGTCACTTCTTTTTCCCAAATTGGGTCCCCTGGGCTTTAAAAATGCTTCTAGCCAATGACCCAATGACTTAAACATGGTTGTGCATATAGCATAGCCATTCCCAGGTGTAAGCTGCACGCTAGCCCTGGCCAGAGGGTCTGTGTAGCCTGTGCTAAGTCTGGGAGACAGATGGACCTAGCTTTTGGGGTACATGGCAAATCCTCACAGGTCTGAAATTCAAAAGCAGTACTTCCCAATGGACAGGTTGGTGAAAAGACAGTCCTTCCTCAGGGCTACAGACTCAGACTGGGGGTGTCTAGTGGGCCTACCCTTGTCCCCAGATTCCAAGACATCCCCTGGGCTGAGCAGGGTACGATCGCCTGTAACTGTGGGACTCCAGGCTGAGGTGTGCGTGCAAGAGACTGGGGGTTCCCGCAGGGTGACCTGGGCTTGGGGATAAGGAAGTGGGTACAGAGGGTATCCTGACACCCTGAGCAGGACAGGGCACGTTAACCCACCGGTTCCGCTCACAGTGCCGCCGGTCCCGCTCCTGCAGCTGGAGAAGTGCTGCACGCGCAACAACAGTGTCACGCTGGCCTGGAGGATGCCGCCCTTCACCCACAGCCCCGTGGACGGCTACATCCTGGAGCTGGACGACGGCGATGGGGGGCAGTTCCGGGTAAGGCCCTGCTGCTCAGGGCTCAGGATTTCTGATGAGGTGTTTGAGGCGCAGCTTTTCACGGATACCTTTTGTTTTAAAGATGTATTTGCTTATGCATATAAGAACTGGGGGCCAGGCCAGAGTTGTGGGGGCGAGAGGGTTCACCAGAGACAGAATGGGGAGCAGCACAGGCGGATTGCCTGAAATACACTGCTGAGCGGAGTTGCTGGCAAGAAAGGAGAGTTCTGCTGTGCCATGTGGGTCAGCTCCCTGGCTGGGGGCTCGAACTGTGCTGTAGTGGCTGTGAACAGTTCGCTTGAACCCAGAACAGCTTCAAAGAGCTTTGCTTTAACCCAGTGCGCTACCAGGGAGGGCCTCTACTGATACTTAGAAAGGACATCAACCCCAAGGACAGAGGCCTGGGAGTCTGGCCTCCTGGGAGATCGGGCTTCTCCCCCAAGGACCACTTCTAAACAGGCTCAGCAGGCAGAGTGGCACCACCAAGAAAAGTGGAGATGTATTTTCTGTGAGGACCGACCCAGATCTGAGGCAAGCTTCAGAGAAGCTGTCACAAGCATGGGCCTTATTCCCAGTTCATCGCATCAGCCCAGTCATCTCCATTCTTCAACATTTGTCCACATAGCCCCCCTCATGCATCTCCCTGTCACCTCAATATTCTGTCACACCTTGCCTTGCCTGGTTCACAAGTTATTTTACTGGGCACTCCCTGGCTTGAGCAGTCGTGGGCAGCGGTGCTTGCCCTCACCCCAGCCCACCCTGAAACTGAGGCCCCAGGCTGATGTGTACAAGAGGCTGGGGGTTTCTGTACAGTGGCCAGGGAGAGAATTCAGCTCCCTCTCTGTCGGGGACCCCAGGTTCAGGAGCAGGATGTCCTGAGGCAGCGTCCCAGTTGGCGCAGATGTGCCAACCGTCTCTGTCTCCCTAAGACGCATCACGCCTCACAGATTCGTGTGGCTTCTGGTTTGAACATGGTCTGTCTTCCTGCTGCCATGCATCCAAATTTGCCCTGTTCAGTAACTCCATTGGGGTGATAGCACTTTGACTGTTTTAAATGGGAGCAGGAACCAGTTGCAAAGAGAACATTTCCAAATAGCAGAGGCTTCTAATGGGCAGCCTTCTTCTTGCAGGAAGTGTATGTGGGCAAGGAGACACTGTGCACCATCGACGGGCTTCACTTCAACAGCACCTACAATGCCAGAGTCAAGGCTTTCAACTCATCCGGCGTTGGGCCTTACAGTAAAACTGTGGTCCTGCAGACTTCCGATGGTGAGCGCTGGGGTGTCCTGGGCACAGAAACAGAGCTACTAAAGGAGAAAACTGGGGTTCCAGGCCCAACTCAAATTTTGTCTCATGGACCAGGAAAAAGCTATCAGCTGCTTAAAGAGGGAAGGAGGAGGGAGTGGAGGGTCTGGGTTAGGGGTAAGGGACCAAATCGGGCAGTCCTCACTGGACAGTCCCAGGGACAGGGAGTTCATGGTGCCAAGGTGGCATGTGCTGGTCCTGTCCCTGGAGTCCCCAGCACAAGAGATCAGCTCTGACGTTTCCACACCTTGCTGGGTCCTTTCCGGTTTCACACAACAGAGCACATCAATATCCCATTGGGTTTTGACTACCCAAGTCCTCAGCGGGGACTGATGAGACAAAGAATGTGTCCCAATGGGAGTCTGTCCTGCTGAGCACAGCACACCCCAGCCTGAGCTGCAGAGGCCCCAGAAAGAGGCCCGTATTGTGTTCATTGTCATCATTTATCCCGGGACATCCCCTGGTTGCCCTGAGAAAAGTGTTACATGCCTGGGCTGTCTCTCAGAGTCATTTTATAAATCGCCAAGAGGTGACTTGCTTTTTGCTCCTTCAGCCCTCATGCAGCATGTTGTATTGGTAAATCTAGAGGGCTGAGGGCTTTAGAGTGCAGAAAGGGGGCACTACCGCATGGACTGGAGGCGGGGAAACTGAACTCTGACCGTGGCTACATCCCTGCACTGTCTGTGTGTCACGAGGCAGGTGTGGCTACAGGCTTACTTGAGCTCACAGCAGCAAACACAGTGGAGAAGGCAGAAGGATGTTAGAAACCAGAACTCCACAAAATGCATCTAGGTTTGGGACTGCAAGGCCCGAATGCCTGTATTCCTCGGCACAGCAGGGTTCGTGGGACCGGAAACTTGGTGGAACTCAGAGAAAAACATGCATGCTCGTGTGTGCTTGTGCGTGATAACCACACAGGCAGGATATTTGATGATGGGTGCCCACTTCCTGGTAGATCCAAGTGGGACTGTGGCCCTGAGTCCAAGTTAGAGATGGCAGGTGGATTCCGTCCTCTAACCTGCTCCTCCTGCCTCTACCTTTCCAGTGGCCTGGTTCACATTTGACCCTAACTCTGGGCACCGGGACATCATTTTATCCAATGACAACCAGACAGCCACGTGCAGCAGCTACGATGACCGGGTGGTGCTGGGCACAGCCGCATTCTCCAAGGGCGTGCACTACTGGGAGCTGCACGTGGACCGATACGACAACCACCCAGACCCCGCCTTCGGAGTGGCCAGGGCCAGTGTGGTCAAGGACATGATGCTGGGCAAGGACGACAAGGCCTGGGCCATGTACGTGGACAACAACCGCAGCTGGTTCATGCACTGCAACTCCCACACCAACAGGTGCGCGGTGAGCCCTCGCCGGCGCTTCTCAGATCGGGGTGTTGGGGCACAGGGGCCTGAGGGACCAGCATCCCTTCTGCTATGCCCGAGTTCAGACGTCAGCCATTGTGGTGTCCACTTTCAGTTTTGACTCTGAACAGGGAGATGCGGCCGTTTGCCTGCAGCCCAGATGAGTCTGCTGCAGTGACTAGAGTGACGAGCATGAGTCCATTGCCAGGTTCCTCAGTGAGTTACACCACCAGGGTCTCCTCCTGCTGCGCTTCTCCTGGTTCTGTTCTGCCTTCCAGTCCACAGTTGTGTGGCTGAAGAGCCAGTAACTCCAGGGCTGTGTCCAGGTGTCTGCAGAGAGAGCAGGTGCCCTTGCCACGGCTGGTCACTTACCCGGTATGACCCCTACTGCCCCACCTCCCTTGAGTCCAGACAGTGCCCTCCAACAAGGTGGGCATAAGGAGGGCAGGGATTATTGGGGTGCTTGCTGCTAATGGTTCTGCCAAGCCCCCCCAACCCCCCACCCACCGCTAAACTGCTTCACCCTGAGGCTGACCCTAGGAATGGCATTACCAGAGTAAACACAGGAAATTCCCATCCTGGGAAAGAAGGTCCCTTTGGGGCTGGCCTCTTCCAAGGACTTGGGGTGCCCTGGTCTCACTCTTCAGACACAGAGAAGGCCATGGGACCCATGTCCCCTTGCAGCTTGGTGTTCTCTTTCTCTTCTTGCCAGGGATATTGTGCTCACCTGGCCTGTGAATGTGTTTGTAGTGGGGTGAGGTGGGATGACAAGGGAACCCAGAAATGGTGAGTTGTAGCACCCTGAGTTGCCTCCTTGCTTTGGAGTCTCCTTCCTAGTCCCCTGAGGGCCATGTCCCAACATAGGACAGGCAAAGAGCTGACTTCACTGGGCCTCACTCCAGTCAAAGTTTATCTGGAAGGTTTCTGTGTTCTGGGCCCATCTGCAACTTCTACAAACCTCCCTAGAGTCTGGATCTGGAGCAAGGGATTGGCAGGAGATTGAACACTCCCCCCGCTCTCCCCCCACGCCCTCCAGCCTACATTCACTGGCAGTGCCCTCTGTCTCCAGAGGCTGGGGAGGGCAGACACCTCTCTGTATCTGCTGCCTGGGCCCTGCGTGCTGATCGGGTACAGAAGCTGACCAGACGCAGCACTGGCCTGCTCCAGCCCCTGTTCACAGACCACAAAGGGACTGAATCTAGATATACCCACTTTTCTTATGCCGAGAAGCACTCAGATTCTCTGTCTGCAGAAGAGAGGAGAGCCCATGCTCAGTGCCAGACACTGCAGGAAGAACCTGATTTATAAGGTCTCAGTAAGTCCTCACAAAAGTACTGTCTTTTTGCTATTTTACCAATGAGACTAGGGCTTAGAGAGGTTAAAAATAGTAGTCCAGATCACAAGCAAATGAGGGGTACTGTCAGGGGTTAGCTCAGATTCCCAGCTCGAGTTTTATATATGTATGAAGGAATGGGGGAACATGGATTTCAAGCACCCCTCGCAGAAACCTTAGCTGAGACCACTTGGGTGGGAGGCATATTCCTGTCGCCACTGGGTGGCCGCTCTCCAAATAGCACCGAAGGCCCCATTGCAGTTCCCCTTTCCCACCTGCAGGATCCTCCTGTCCTGGGGTCCCAAGCACACCATTTGGAAGATGCTCCCCAAAGCAAACCCTTCTGCTAGGGACTCCACCAAATCCTCTGCATGACATTCCTGTGCTCTCGGCCTCCCATCAGCCTCTAGCTGACCAGCTTAGTCCCCATCAGGAAAGGATGGTCAAGACCAAGAGGAGCCAGAAGACTGAGGCCTGGGAAGAGGGACCAGGCCTAGGCCCCCCTGGAGAGTGCTGCTCCCTTAAAGACTCCACCGCATTTGGGGGCTATGAATTCCCACCACTCACGAAATGTGGAATCACCCACCTTCTCCAAGATCTTCACAATTTACATTCTCTCAGGGTCCCCTGCGGGATGGGAATTGGCTAAAACTAAAAGGGGGACCAAGTTGGTTCTTGTCCTGGGCAGGTGTAAGAGCTTCCTTCCCTTGCTCCTGGTGCCACATTTCCAAGTGGGACCTACTCAGCAAACCCCAGCTCCCGTGCACGCAGGCCGCTGACACTGTCAGCAAAGAGAGGAATGCCATCACCTGGCCCCTCTAGCACAGAGGTCTTCCAATGGAGAGGTGTCCTGGTGGGGCCCCTTACCTGGCGAGTGCACCTCCAGAGAAGGCTCGTGGCCCAGAAGAGCAGTGCCTGCCCCGCCACGGGGGCTGTGTTTTTAGGGACGGGTCTTCTAACGGCCTTGAAATGATTCTCTGGAGCCTTCACCTGCACCCCCGGTCAGGTGTGGTAAAGAGGCTCCCTGGCGCTTCTCTCCCCAGGACAGAAGGCGGTGTGTGCAAGGGGGCGACCGTCGGCGTGCTGCTGGACCTGAATAAGCACACTCTGACCTTCTTCATCAATGGGCAGCAACAGGGCCCCACAGCCTTCAGCCATGTGGATGGAGTCTTCATGCCAGCACTCAGCCTCAACCGCAATGTGCAGGTACCACAACTCCCTCCAGGATGCCCCCACCCCAGACCTGGGAGCCTCCTTAGTACACTTGGGCAAGTGGGCCACGAAGAAGCCACTATAGTGCCTGCTCAGGTGAGAGTTTGCCTGCCCAGCCACCTTGGGCATTCCCGGGAGCCCAGTCTCTCTGCACTGTTCAATTCTTACTGGTTCACCTACTGGCAAGCAGAAACTGGACAGCAGCTTGGGAACGAACATTGTAGGGAGAAGCAAAAGAGGGTGGGGGAAGGAAGTGTGGGTGATTCCACTTTCTGGAACAGCACAATGAAGAAATGCAGTCATGGGAGAACAGTCAGTGCCCCTTGCGCCCAGCTTGGATCCAGTGGGCAGCTGTGTGCTGGGACCTTGCAGGTGGGGATTCTGAGCCTTTGTGTGGTTTTCCCAAGAGGAAAAATTACAAAGGAGAGTTGGGAGAGATGAGGCTGTGCAACACCCCCCCCCACACACACACACACACACAGCCCCACGTTCCCATGAAGCAGGCAGGAAACTTGTCCTTTTAGGTCTCAAGCTGGGTCCAGCCCCAGAGGAGTGCTGGTGGCTCAGGGGTCCCAAAGCAGACAGATGAAATGGGATCCCAGTGCCCGTGTGAGGGACAAGAGAATCGCGGGGCAGATTTTTTTCTGGCACATCGCACACCAAACACCCCTGCCCCCAGGGAGGGCTTGGTCCTGCTTTGTGCTGTCCATTGGACCTGAGCGCGTGGGTCTGTGCCCATCGCTGCTGGCTGGTTTGACCCCCGCAAGAAGGTTTGGATGCAGCTGGGATATGGGCCCCAAGTCCCCAGGGTTAATAAAACTGATGTAGGAAAGGAATGAGCCCTGGAGAGAAAGCAGAAACAATTGATCATGTACAGCTCAATGGTTAGAGACACTGACCTCCATGCAGTCAAAATCCACATGGAACTTGACACCACCGCCCCAACTTAACTAACAGCTTGCTCTCGGCCAGAAGACTTACTGATAATTTTTTTTAACTGATAATTTATATATATATATATATATATATATATATATATATATATATATATATATATATATATGTCTGATTTTCGATTGCAAATGACACCATGAGGTCTATTAGTATTTGTATGGTAGGTTTTTATCTATTTTACCTTTTTATAATAGAGCTGTGTGTGTAGTATGGTAGCAAACAGCAAACTAGACTACTATCTGCATACATTTTATGTACTCGTGACAGATCTTTTCCTACTTTTCCCCATATTTCTAGGCTATGTGGTTTGTCTGGGAGCTTTTTCAAATTGCCACAAATTTCCCCTCCAATTTTCCATTGCATTTATTAAAAAAAAAAACAACCCATGTGTGGGTGGCCTGTGAGACCCAGTATGCGGGGCACTCACTTGGCTGGGCTCCTAGCAGGCAGGACACAGTGGAGAACGCAGGCAGCTGTGTCGTTCTTCTGAGGAGAGAGGCTCAACCCAGCTCCTAGGAGACCTCACCTCAGAGATACCACACAGCATAATAAACAGCAGGTCCACAGGACAGTGCACCCTGACTGCTGCCTGTGGGGCCCAGAAAGAACAAGTGGAGGGAGCTGCTGACAGCCGTGCGCCATGAGGGCCAGGGGTGGGTTCCTCAGGCAGCCTCCCCTACCCTCTGCCCCTTCCTCTCTTCTTTTCCAGGTCACCCTGCACACAGGGCTGGAAGTTCCGACAAACCTGGGGCGGTCAAAGCTGTCAGGCAACTAGCCTCCCAGCTCAGCTCTGCTCTGGCTCTTCTGGGGACAGCCCGCATCCCTCACTACGTTGACATGACGAGGGCAGGACGACCTGGTCACGGGTGCAACCCAGCAGCCACTGAGTATCTTAAGGACATGTTTTCTTTGAGGGACACAGAATGGGTCTGCAGGCCAGGTTTGTTGAGGCCACCCTTGATGGTGACCGTGCGTTTCATCTTTGTTCCACCTGGATGTTACAAATACAAAGAGGAAATTTCTCAAGGGAATGAGGAAGTATTCAGGGCTTATGGTCATGTTTCTTGCCATCTGGTCTCACAGCCTGTCTTTGAGGCCATGGGGAAGGGAGTGGGAGGGGAAAGCAGACTTCCAGAATGGCATACTGAGAACAAGAGTCTGGGAGACACTTTGGAATCACAGACCCCTGGTGTCGACCCTCTGTGGGCATGGTACTCCTTCACAGCCCCAAGCCTACAGGTTCCCATCTCTGGCAGGAAAAGTTATTTGAGTTTTGGTCCTGGAGTCTTCAGTAGGTTACACTACTCACAGACCCAATCCAGATGGGACATTAATCATTACTCTTGTTCTTTGCCTCTCTTTGAACTGTTGAGAATCTTTTTAAATGGCTTCCGTAGGTTCTTCATTAATCAATCTCTCTTTCTCTCTCTCTGTCTCTTTTTCTCTTTCTCTCTCCACATAGACAATAACTAAAATTCTTTCACTCCATTCTTCATTCTTAGACACATACAAACCACTGGAGTTTGAATGACTGTGTGATGCATCTCCCTTTAGTTGGTAGCACTTTCTGGAACTGGCTCCCAAGAAATTAACTGCAAAGCTGTCTCATTTCCTCTCAGATGGGAGCCCTGGGGAAGCCTCTTAGAGAGGCTTTACCTTTACTTTACCTTTACTTTAGATCGACTCCACCATAGTCAGGAAAGCAAGAAGTACCCCCAGGGCAGGGCAGTTCTGTGGTGGCAGGGTGGACAGGACCTCTGAAGAGGGCAGGAATTAGATAGCAATATTGTGTTCCTAGTCCCTCAGCTTCCCAGCGTGAGCCCAGCGGGGGCTGTGTCCCATTGACCAAGGAGGAAGTGAGTCCTCTCCTTGCTGGGAACCCGAACAGGCTCCCTTGAGATCCATGTTGAGTCATTTCCATCTCTTGGAAGGATCTCGCTTTGCTCCAAAGTCTCGCCTGGAGCTCTCACGGTCCCTAGAGCACCTCACCCCTACCTGTACCCCCGGCCCCTCCACCCACTCTCTTCTTCCTCATCAGCTGCCACCTCCATCTCCATCTGGTCAAAGATCTTTCTCCTTTTTAAGAGAATATATTTTATCAAGCATTTTATTTTTGAGGTTGAGGAGTAACTTGTCTATTTGCTGGATTGGATTTTTATAAAACTTAGCCCGTAAACCGGCACCAACTGTGTTAACTTGGTTTCTAACCTGCTTTCCGAGCCATCCAGCCCCTACCCTCATTCAGCAGATTCGACAATCCTACCTCAAAGTCCGAGCACTTAGCCCACCAGACTCTTTCAGGCACCTTCAGGAGTCACTTGGTGCTGTATTTAAGCCTCAGTCACTGCCTCGGGGGCCCTGGAAACTATCACCTGCTTACAGGGGAGTGGAAGTCTTCCCTGTTGGTCCTTGACACAGCAAGTAGTTTCCAGGGTCCCTGGGGGCAGGCTTCATCCTATCCTGGAGGTGCGACCAGGGATTGTGCACAACCTGGCAGCCATGTCCTTCTCTGTGCAGCTTGCTCTTCTCGGCTTTTACTTCTCTCAGCTCCTTAGCCATAGCTCTGGGTGGGCTCTGCTGGGAGTGTGGGGAAGATTCCTGAAGATGGATCTTGGGCTTTCCAGACACATCTACTTTGGGAAATGTCGTGTCATCTTTTGGAAAAAGTAAGGCCAGTGTGCTGAAAGTAAAAGTGCTGTTGGAAAGGCAGCTAGGAAGGGCGGCCTGGCTGGGTGGCTTTGTACACGGAGACTGGATGAAAGGCTGGGAAACTGGACTTGGCTGACACTCTCAGGAGAGCTACCACCTAGGTCAGGGAGGTGTGGGAAAGGGAGAGAGGAAATTCCCACAATTACAGGTGGCCTCTTTAGGAAGAAAACTACCTGAAATTCAGAGAGAAACCACCAGGACTCCCTCCCCCACCTGCAGCAGTCAAGGAAGCCCTGTGAGTTTGGGGACCAGGTGAGACCCTTTTTCTAACTCCCTAGGAGGCCCAAAAGCAATATGGCTGATACCAGGGATCATAGCACCCAGCCCTTCTACAGCCACTCTCCTGTCTCCAGCACAAAACATTGTCAGGGATTTAAAGCAGAAGGCAACACACTTCTGTTTTTGAGGGATCAGCAATGAAGAGGGAACTCATCAACTCCTATGGTCTTATGTCACCCTCCAGAAGCCCCCTGGATTTGGAGAAACCACAGGTCATGGGATGCTCACTTGCCAACCAATTCTGTTACAAGATGGTGACACTTTTGTACACAAAAATTTTATCAAGATGATTGATGCTTTGGGGGCTCTGGCTGAGGAATGAGTAACTTGGTGTCCATCTATCAAGCAGTTTCAGTGAGAAAAGAATTCAAGGTGATTTAAAAGTCAAGTTCCATTGCATTGTAAATAATGCCTCTGTGACGTGGTTCTATGGTTTGTTCTTTGCTAGTGGGCCAGTTTGGTCAAAGTGTATGCCTTTCCTTTTCATATGAACCTCTTGAAAAAATATCAAACAGCATCTTACGGTATATCCTTGTTCCTAATTCAAAGCAACCTAAGGTATTTATTTACGCATAGCTCTGCTTCCTCTGCTCTGTCCTATTTGGGAAAATACTGATTCTAGTTGAAGTGACCATCAGTAATACCCACAAAGTAACTGAGCTAAAAACTATGAAACTGTGCACAGTGCTAGGCTGACTCTTCAGTTCTGTGTTCTGTGTACTTGCAACAGTGCCCTCAGCCACCCAGGGCCCACCAAGGTTGGTTGAGGACCTCACTTTCCACAGTGAGTCTGGGCAAAACTGGCATTCACCAAGAGCAAGGGGAACGGGGCCTTCCCTCCTGTTCTTGGTGCCTGGAATGCCCCAGCCTTATGGAGCCCTGCCCTCTGCCTCCCAGAGCACTCTCAGGATCAGAACGCAAGGCTCCATGTGTACTTCTAGGGACACTTGCATTTAAGCCTTAAATCTAATTGTTAGTGAAAGGCTCGGTCCCCTGTGAAGGTGTTTCAGCACAAGTGAGCAGGCAGCTCACAGCTAAAGCTGCTGCTGGCCCCATGCTACTGCTGGCTGTGAGGTAGAGCCAGGATAAAGTCCTTGGCAGGGAACTCAACAATGAAGAGGCCACAGAGGATGCCAGTATTTCTCGACCTCAGTGTTATTTTCATTTGGTGGTGGGCAATCCTCTGTTGTGGGATGTTTAGCAGCATCCCTCCCCTCCACCCCTAGATGCCTGCAGCCATCCCCAAGTTCATCATTACAAGGATAAGTTTCTGCAGGCATTGCCCAATGTCCCCTGGGGACATCCTGCCTGAGCAAGAACCATTATAAATGGGCTACATCAGTGGTTTGTCAGGTGTCGACACACAGTGATGCTTGGGGCATTCACTCCAGGGTACTACAGCTGCAGGCCTTCATCTTAAACCCCAAACCAGAACTGTCCCTAAGTCTAGTGTCAGGAAATGTGGGGGGAATGGAGTGAGCCACGAACAGCAGCCAGACTATGGAGGCTCACTCTGTATTGACAATGATACCCTGGAAAGCATCCCCCCAGCCCCACCTCATTCTTAGGAAGCAAAATTCCTAGCCTTCGTTTTTCTTGGCCACTTTTGACCAAATGTACTTTTGACCAGATATGTAGCCTTTAACTGTTTAAAAAATCAATTCTGATATCATTAGAAGATACTTAAGCTCAAAAAAATAATAAAGATGGTCAAGCATTATGCTGATCCTGGGAAATCACAAAGTTTTATTTTTTTGCAAGTAAACCAGTAACTTTTCACTGATATGCTCCTTGGCAGTTCCTTCCTAAAAAGGATCCTGGCAACTTATAAGTGGATAGTAATATAATGGGCATGTTTGGAACAGGATATATCGAGCAGGCCCCAGAACTTGTTTCTTATAAACTGGCTTTGATCTTGGTTTATGGTATAAGTGGGGGCAAAGCTCTTAAATAAAATAAAATGTTCCTGTGCCTCAGTATCCCCACCTGAAAACAGAACTAGTCATACTAACCTACCTCCTCTGACATAATGTGAGGATTTTAGAATAACACCTTAAATTTAACAAGTGTAGTCTTGCATCTATGGAGCCACAGTCAGTGAATCAGGCCTGTGTGGTGACTTTCGAGTGTTCTCTGACAGTGTCTTCCATCCAAGTGTCTTATGACAGACGCAAGTATTTTTGCATAGCTGCCTGGCCTTGAAGGAATAAAACTGACGTTTGACAGAGGCTCATCTGGCCGTGGAAGAAAACACTCCAAATGTGCCCATCCCCGCTAAGCCTGTGTAAGGTACTCTTATAAAGTCTGTGAACAGGCTTTGTGTCAGCATCTCATATCTCAAAGGCATCTGCACACGCAAGTCTCCTTGAAACACCAAAAGAGGTTAACCAGCCTTCCTGGGTCCCTGGTTACCTTCAGTTCTGGTATCTTAAGGGGATCCCCCAACCTGTCATGTGTCCTTCATTTCCAAAGATTTTGGCAGAGGGAGTAATTTTGAAAATCGGTGTCAGAGTACAATGAGATACAACTGAACAGCAGTCTAGAAGGCCGGTTATGCTACAAGGCGAAGGGGCTGCTGGTTGTCACATGGCTGGGCTGTCTGTCTGTCAAGAGGGATTCCCGGCTCTTTCAATGACTGACTTCAATCAAGAGTGGGGGTGGAGGCTTACAGGAAAGTCTCATCTGAAGGTGTCACTCTTCTATCAAAGGGCTGTGCCTGCTGAGGACACAGGCAGCCTCGCCCAGCCCTGGGAAGATCCAGGGCATGTGACACAGGCACCATTTACTAGCCAGGCCCTGGGTGGGGTGGGGGGGGGGGGTTGAGGTTTGGAAAAGTGGCTGCGAGCAGCTGTGGGAGCAGGAACATGGCTTCCAGAGTGACAGTCCTGCCAGAGACGGCCTTTCCAGCTCCTCCCATATCTGGTGACTGCAAAACCTAAGACCCAGACTCAGCGCCAAGAGGAAGCTGAGAGTAAGCAAAGTGGAAAATGTTAAATGCATGATGTAGAATTGCTGCTTTCACACTATTGTATTAAGCATGAGAGATGTTTGTTTAACGTTGGCAAAGGAATTCTAGAAGTACAAAAAGCGTTGTGTCCTTGTTTTGGCTGTCTGCACAAGTTCATTTTTCCTGCCTTTCTTTACCCATTTTCTCCCTTCACCGCCCCTCCCCCATCACATCCACTTTCTGTCACTAGTTGTTAGTATTTGGTGGCAGCTCTTGGTCCCGCTGGTGTTCACGTTCCACTGGGAACACGGTGGGGGGTAGTAAAGGGGAAGGAAAGCAACTTTTTTCTAATTTTTGTATTGGTATCCACAAGCGTTTGTATTTTTTGAATTGCAAACACTGTTTTCTGGTCTTTTGGGGGTTGGTTGAACTTTGTGTATTGCCTTTTGGAAAACCTAAGTTTTACCACAGTCTTAAGCAGATTTGAAATAAATTCTTTTCACACTGCCAACAACTGAAAGGTGGAGTTGGTCTGTAATTACTGCTAAGCACAAGGCCTGACTTTCTCCAAACTGGTTCTCACTGGCAATGAGGCAGAAGCTTTGTGTGTGTGTGGTGGGGGGCGGGGGGGCGGGGGGTGTGTCGGTGAGGGGGGACATGTCTGCCACACAGAAGGCCCACGGCACCATCAGGCAGCAGGGTCAAGGTCATGTGCCCAGGAAATCTTGTGATTATGTACACCTCTGAGTGATAAGGTACTACCTCAAACAGTGGGGAGTTCATGAAATTCATTTTTGCAAGAGGTAGTAAGGCTGGAAGCTTGTACCACTTCAGGTTAAGATAAATTCATGAATAGATCATTGATCATGGGTTACAAGGGCAATCAGGTTTGGGGAAAGCATCCTCACTAATCTGAGTATACGAAGTCAAACCCGCCCTTTCACCAAGACTGAGCCTGGGTGTCTGACCTGAGCCCTGTGGCTCTCAAGAGCTACCATCACACAGGACCCCAACCTCCCTGAGAGCTGGCCTCACCCCTGGGTCCTGGCCAAACTGCTCAAGGGCTCAGCTGGGAGCATGGACAGGAATGTTCTTCCCTTCAAAGCGATCACCTTGGGCAGCACTACATTTTTTTTTTCTCAGAAGACATTTTTTTTTTTAAAGATTTATTTATTTATTCATACAGAACTGGGGTACAGGCCAGAGATGCGGAGGGTGAGAGGATTCACCAGAGACAGAGTGGGGTGCAGAACAGGCAGATCGACAAAGCACACTGCTGAGGGGAGCAATGGGCGGGTCAGAAGTCTGCCGCGCCATATGGATCTCCTCCTGGGCAGGCGGTTATCAAACTTATGCAGAAGTGGCTTAAGCTTCCCAGTGCTGTGCTTTAACCTGCTGCACCACCAGGGAGGGCCCTCAGAAGACATTTTTTAATTGGAAAATTTTTTTTTAATTTTAATAGTTTATTTTTACATCAGGTTGTGCCTTTTTCCATCTCAGCTGTAAACCCCATGGACTTCCCATCACCAAATTACCCATGTGCCATCACCATAGCCCAGTGTACTTTCTTCCTCGTTTTTGATCCCATTCCCCATTCTACCCCCATAAAATGTCTCTGGTATATAGCTGTTCATTACTATTATTATAGCCGCCCTCCTTTCGGGTCCTTTATTCTCCTGCTGAGTGAAGCCATCTGGTATTTTTCTTTTTCTTTCTGGCTTATTTCACTAAGCATGATCCCTTCCAGCTCCACCCATCACATCTCAAAGTTTGTGGCATATTTTTTTTAAATCTTCAGTGATGGTGATCAATTTTGTCTTTTTTTCCCACATTGTTAAAAAAGTCAGACTTGCACCTCACCCCAGTGAGAATGGCACATCTTCAAACAACTAGCAACAACAAATGTTGGCGAGGATGTGGAGAAAAAGGAACTATCCTGCATTGCTGGTGGGAATGCAAACTAGTACAACCACTATGGAAAACTGTTTGGAGGTTCCTCAAACTGCTAACAATGGAGCTTCCATATGACCCAGCAATCCTACTCCTAGGTATTTACACAAAAGACATAAAAGCACTGACTCAAAAAGACACTTGAACCCCCATATTTATTGCTGCTTTATTTATAATAGGAAAGGTATGGAATCAACTCAAGTGCCCAAAAGTAGATGACGAGATTAAAACGATGTGGTACAGGGCCCTTCCTGGTGGTTTAGCGGGTTAAATCACAACACGAAGAAGCTAAAGCCACATCAGCACAAGTTTGATCCCTGGCCTTGGAGGTGACCCACATGGCATGGCAGACTTCTGACCTGCCCACTGCTCCCCTCAGCAGTGTACTTTGTTAATCACCCTGTTCTGCTCCCCACTCTGTCTCTGGTGAATCTGCTCACTGCCCCTGCACTTCTGGCTTGTACCCCAGTTCTGTATGCATAAATGAGTAAATCTTAAAAAAAAAAAAAGATGTGGTACATATACACAATGGAATATTATTCAGTGATTAAAAAAGGATAAGCTCATGCCTTTTGCAGCAACATGGATGGAGCTGGACGGGATCATGCTTTGTGAAATAAGCCAGAAAGAATAATACTGGATTGTTTTACTCATAGCAGGAGCATAAAGGAGAAGGGGGTAAAAATAATGAACAACTACATACCAGAGATATTTTATGGGGGTGGATTGGGGAATGGGATCAAAAATGGGGAGGGGGGTGCATGGGACTATGGTGATGGCACATCGGTGAGCTGGTGATGGGAAGTCCAGAGGGATTACAGCTAAGATGGAAAAAGGTACAAAATGATGTAAAAATAAACTATTATAGTAAAAAATAAACCAATTCAATAAAAAACAACCTCAGACTTGATCTAGTAAATTATAAAGTTTTAGTCAAAACAGAGGCATATAAATGGCTTTCTAATGTTCTCCAAAGGAATTTCCAAAGGCTAAACAAATGTTTTAAGATGAAGCCAAACTGGAATTAAGTGTTTATATTGCATGTTTACTTTAAAGGGCAGAATTTTTTAGGATATTTATTTTATCAGAGCTAGATTTGCAAACTAGGAAAAAAATCACAAAAGCTAGGTATTAAGAGTAAGTATAGGATCAACTTAACTCCCTTTCTTTTTCAACAGAGCTGGGAGGTGATTGTGGCCCCAGCTCACATCCACCTTCCATGAGCCTTTATGATGAGTCTCTGAGCATCTAGGGACACATTTGGGAACCAGACTCCCAGTCCAGTCAATTCTGAAAAAGCATGTAGATTCGAAGTAATTACATTGGCTTTGTTTTCACCTTTGAATTTATTGAGCAATTTAAAGAACAGTCTTGTGACCACTGAGCCCCCTGGAAACACTCAGGTTTGGAGCTAAAAGAAAGCAACCTGTATATTAAGTGATGCTGTAGTTTAAGACTACACTTTTTATTTTCCCCTCAACTGTTTCCTCTAGCACATTGAGCAGCAAAGAGAAAAGACAATGAAAAACTAGTCACCCAAAGGAAGACAGATTGACTAAGATTCTGGCAACGGAACATCGAGAAGAAACTTGGGCTGCAGCATGGGAGGTTCAGTTCCTTAGAGGTCTCGTTATGCCAAGTCCCCTGGGAGGGGTTTCTTCCTAGGTGCATGGATTAGCCCTTGTTTCATTAGGCACGACCACCTGCCATTACTGCCAGGGACCTAGTTATGGAGCTTGTAGTCCCCACCTCCTCAAGTCTTGGCCCTATGTACCTAGAGACACTGCTTCCCAAAAGGGGTACAGAACACAGCACCTTGTCCCCGAACCAAGGTTGCTGCCTGACCAAGGAAAGCTACCACCTTTGGGGTGACTGATACTGACCACCAAGCAAAGGTATGGCTGCTTTCACCCAGTGGGGCAAGGAGGAATTCCTTTTTCAATGACCAATATGCACCCAAGGGATCCTCTCTGGCATCTTCTGATATACTGTGCAGTTCTGATGGTAACCCCTGGGCTGAAAAAGGTCTGGTGACCTTGAGACTCAAACACCTTAGGGATCAGTGTCCAGCTCACAAACAGCAGAGGTGCTAGGTGAGGACAAGGGGCGTCCAGGATGAATAGCAAAGGAGGCAGACAATGAGTGTCAGTTGCAGCTCCAAACCCAGCCAGAGGCCTGGAATACTGTTTCTCACTAACCTTTCTCATCTGAGCGCCCCACATGGGATTCCAGAAAGCTTCTCTCCGAACTTACACAGCACAACAACCTGTGGCACAGGATGGATTGTGGTGATCACACTCAGACCCCCTTTCAGGAATAAGCTTTATGCTTTTGGCTGCTGAGCATGCTGGGACTCAGCCTCGGCCCCTCCCAGGGTGGCCTAACAACGTGACTGATGTGAGGGTATTAAAGCCCAGTTCTCTCATGGCAATGCCGACAAACTCAAGCTGAGGTGGCCGAAACCTACTCTGGATCTGTATCACCACTCGACACCACCTTGGGCCATTTCTGCCTACCTTTGTTTCCATTTGCTTTGCTGAAAGCATAACAATGTGAATAGTTTATGCTTGGAATTGTATGCTTTTCCAGAGTTTAGACTAGACTGGGACTCTTGCCACCAAATGCCCAAGGTTTCACAATGGCTCATGGAAGGTAGAGGCCACCTTCACCTCCCAGTGCTGTTGAAAAAAAGGAGTTAAAGTGATCCTTTATCCACGCTAATAGTCATTTCTAGCTCCCGAGTCCTTTTTCCCTAGTAGGGGGATCTAGGTATCTGGGTATCAAATTTTGGCAATAAAAGCCAAAACTGAACTTTTTTAAAAAAGGTGCCACAGCTCTGAGAAGTTCCAGCTACTTTTAGGAAGGCAATACCATTTAAAAATGTATGAGTACTGCTCAAGGTGATGGCTTTTTTTGGTCGTAAGTTGCCAAATAGCACTTTTTTTTTTTCCAATATTCTGCTCTGTAGCTTCCTTGCGCCTTTTACCCAGATGCTGAAATGCCCTGCGCCGGGGAAGACCATGCAATGCTGGCCCTGAAGTTCCCCTTCTCCATGGTGAGCCTGGAGACATTTTGTGCGATGCTGTCTCTTTTCTTGGACCTTCAGGCTTTCTGGGGAAGAGGAGGAGAGAGGAGGAATACTCCTTCGGGCTCTAAACCTTGGCCTCCACTGATGTGGGGGACTGGTTCCGCCTCCTGGAACTTACCAAAATCCAAATAGTTTGGTCAACCTTCTTGTGGATGCCGGCCCTTTAACTTCTCCAGGCTGAAGCCCCTGCTGGCATGCACCTTGGCATGATGCCAGGCGGATAAAGCTGTTCACCAGATGCCAGCCCATGTGGGCTGCCTTAGCTTACTGGGTCTTGTCTCTACATGTCTTCCATCCCAGCTAGTTTAACTACTGCCAGTGCTTGTGGAAATAGGGTTTTTGGACCATGCCATCCTGCCTGGTACCACAGCTGCTGCCTACAGGCCTCCTCTGAGGCAGACTGGCCAGTGGAAAGGCCCACAGTGGTTAATTTGAAGGAGAGAACATTCACTTCAATGTAGGTGCTAAGATGAGTTAAATTTATACATCATATTATTTAACAGTTGATACCACTGGTACCACAAAACTTGTACTTCATTTAGACCTTCTTACAATGTAGATTTTATATACTTGGTAGGCTAAAAATAACTATTATTCCCCAAATACAACGATAAGTATCACATTCTTTGTTTTTTCATGATACAGCAATATTATCTTTTTTTTTTTTAAAGATTTATTTATTCATTCATACAGAACTGGGGTACAGGCCAGAGATGCGGAGGGTGAGAGGATTCACCAGAGACAGAGTGGGGAGCAGAACAGGCAGATCTACGAAGTACACTGCTGAGGGGAGCAGCGGGCGGGTCAGGAGAGGTCTGCCACACCATGTGGATCTCCTCCGGGGCAGGCAGGCAGGGATCGAACTCATGCGGAAGTGGCTTAAGCTTCTCAGTGCTGTGCTTTAACCCGCTGCGCCACCAGGGAAGGCCAATATAATATTATCTTTTTTTAAATTGAAAGAATTTAAAGGTCACCAGGAAAACTTACTCATCAATAAAATGACAAAAAAATCTTATTACAAGCAAATGTACAAAAAGCCCCAGTGAAAGTGTAACCGGAATGAACCTTTATCAAAATAATAAACATTCTTTTCAATCGGTGTACTTTATATTCCACTGCAGCAGTTATCACCATAAAAAATTCAGTAACTAGAAATTGCATTCCCACTGGATTTTTTCTAAAATAAAAAAGCAATCAATGAAATATGAAAAAAATAAGATTAATCTGGAAGTCTCGGTAGGGCCCAGCTTCAGTCTTTCCTGCTCCTGTCTTTATTTTATATGAAGTACTTCATTTAGCCACTCTGGAAGAATTTATTTTCCTGATATCAACTTGGCTCAGAATCAGTGTCCCATTTTTGAATTTTCCAACCTGTCCAATCTGTCCACCCGACAAAATACTGGGAGCTGATTTCTTCTTTTTGGACTTCCTGCATTTGGAAAGTGAGAACAGTATCAGTGTCAAACTACAAGGAAGGACGACAGTGCCAAAGCCCAACCCCTTGCCACGCATGGCGCCCGCCCAGCTGGAGCCTCTGGTCTTCCTGCAATCCCAAAGACACACTCCCAGCCTCCCTGCACTGGTTTCTTCTATGTGAAGTGTTCTGCTACCAGATCTTTCTTGGCTGTGCCCTCCTCTTCACCCAGTTCTCAACCCAGATGTCACCCCTTAGAGAGACAACCAGCTCAGTCCTGTGATATGTCTCTCGTGATGTGCTACGTCAACCTCCTCACTCAGCATGTCAGCACCTGGCACGCCCTGATCTGCCTGTATATTTACTTGGAGTGTTTTTCTTACTACAGTGTTGGCCTGTCAAGGGCAGGGATATCCTCAGTGTGATGATGGCTAGATCCCTAACACCTAAGACACTCGTGTGTCTGTCACACATAGGCCCTCAATAGACAGACACACAAAACCAGAACAGATGACCACCGGATGGCATGTGCAAGCTCACTGGTATCCAGGAAAAGGTCAACACAAAAGGAGTCAATTTGAAATAGTAATTTGAGCAGAACAAAAGCTAAGCAACAAGTATGAACCAACAAAATCAATGCCCCACTTCTCAAATCCTGGTCTGCTTCATTTGGCATTTGGCAACTGGCAGGCTCAGCCTGTGCTCAGCAGGCTCTCTTATGAGCAAGCAGAAGTTTTTGGTGAGAAGTATCTATCTCAGCTTTTCCACTGGTCTTCGAAAATGAAAGACTGGAGAAGGTTCCTAATTCAGCTCAATCCTGGACAATTTACTAAATTGTCTTCCCTTAAAGGACTTGATTAGGGAAGGTTTATCCAGATCATTCTAGTTCAATATCTGATGGTTATCACTCACCTGTCTTCCTGCCCTTTCCTCTTCTTTTTCTTGAAAATCTCTGTGTCCTGGGCCTGGTTTCAGAATTTAAGATATATATGTGTCAGTGACTGAGGATGGAAACTCACACAAGAGGCTTGTGACCAGAAGCCACAGAAATACCATTTATGCTTGACATTTTTTTTTCAAAAGGCACACTAAACATAACAACTCCAAGTTTCATCCAAAAATCCTTTCAAGAATGTGAAAGGTTATTCCAGGGAAGAATGTAAAATCTTCCATTTGGGGTGAAAGGAAGGGAATATAACAGCTATTCCCCTTGCGATTTTGAATAGGACTTTGTGTTCCATACAACATAAAATGCAGAAAAATGAGTAGGTGTAGAAAAAAGGTCAAAGCAGCTTACATGATCCGAACAGGACTTTCAAAGTAAGCCTTTCGTGTACGTATGTGAAATCACTTGCCACTATTACTAGATGCAGTTCACTGGAAGACGTGGAAAGGATTTGATTATGTAACTCTAGATCCAGTTGTCACCCAACTGCTTCCCCAGCAGCAGGGCAGCATTTACTCCATTGTGGCAAACTGCAACCATCTTTCTGTTTTAATTTAGTAGAGAAAGGGCTATTACACTTACCATTCTCTTTTCTTCTTCCTTTGCTGCCTTTTTTTCTTTGATTTGTTCCTGTAAAACCTTGTAATTCACATAACTATTTTTGGGAGGCTGAAATGAAAGAAAAAAGATACATAACATAATTTTTTTTTTCTTTTCTAAAATCACCTGCCCTGACTTGCTATGGGCTCTCCCCCTTTCTGGACCCTGTTTGGTGATGGAAGACAGGAGGAGCCCTCACCTTTGCACCCAGCATGATGGCGCGCTCCTGTTCCAGGACTCTTTCCTTTCCTTTTCCATAACCCATGATCCCAAACCTGTGCACTTCCAAGCGAGCCTGTAGACACAGAGCAGAATCAGACCCCAGTGCATTCCCAAAACTCCACAGGAGAAATACGCCGCTAGTAGAAAGACATTCAGACACCACATGACATAAGTCAGATATTAGACTTCTCTCTCTTCTCACAACCTGCAGTGAAGACACAACTAGCAAGAGTCCTATTATCCAATTCTTTAAGGAACTTTGTGGAGGCCTCTTACTCAATGTTACCATATTTCAACACACTGCTCACTCCCTATTTAATCCGAGCAGCTGAAGGAAAGAGTTATATTTGCACAAGTCAGCAGCAGAATGATGATGAGATGCTGAATTTTGCAGTGCTTTAGGGTGCTCTCAAAAACAAACCATTACCTAAAAATGCAGTAAGTTCTACTTAACAGTACCTCTCCAAACATAGCTATTCACACTTTTAAACTATCACAGCAGTTTCAAACACAGGTAGTGTTTTTTCTTTAAAAAGAAACTGAAGCAGAGAAAAAGCCACTCCTCTGAGAAATTAAATTACTTTGCTTGTTTTTTTTCCTTATGCATTTTAAAATCTATTTGCAGTAACAAAATATGCATATCTGCTTCTCATGCACTGTGCCATAAGAACTGCAGTCATAAAACCATTGTTGTAAATGACTGCATGATACTCAAACAAGTAAATGTGGTGTGACTTGTTTAATCATTTCCCTAACCACAGACATGTAAATCTATGTTGTTGTTTGGTATTATGAAGCTGAAAAATCAACAATTTCAAAGCACATACCTTTTCTAAATTAAATTCTTGTATATTCCCATCTTTCTGGAGAACACTAGCTTTGGTCTGAAAAGGAGAAAAAAATCTTTATTAAGATCATCTGTTACTAACTTTCAGTCATAGAAAGCCTTGAAACTGGCCCAAATGCCTAAATACAAAACAACACAAGCACATTGCTCAAAATGCCTAATTAACAGTTAATGAAAGAAAAAAGAAAAAAAAATTAAGGTCTCAAAGAAAAGATTTGTTAAAGTTAGGGGAAAAAAAAAAAGATGGTAAAAAGAGAGATCAATGGACCAATGTCTGTATCTCATGTGCCACATCGAGAAAGTTCTGTTTTGAAGGGGGTTTAGAAAAGTATACCTGTTTGATGAGTAATTTTAGAGTGTAGAAAATGTATTTAAATAATTCTTTCCTGATTTTCTAACCCATCCAACCATTTGAAAAATGGCTAATGGAATTGTCTGGAGTTGAGTACTTCTTCAAGGAAGATCAGTTTCTAGAAATGGTAGTGATCTGGTGGTTTGTAATTCCCAATAGAAAATGAAACAAATGCTCTCAAAATATGCAACTCTTTATGTCATTAAATCCCTAGCAGTGACCACAAGCTAGAGATCTTAAGGAAAGTGGACTGTCAAATCTGGCCAACAGTGGTTACTACTCAACCCTCACCCCCAAAACTGGACCAATAAGAAGCTGTAAAAGCTGTGCAGTTTCTAGAAATGGCACGTATCCTTTGCTAGACAAGAGTGAAGGAAGTTGGTGAACCCTGAGCTGCCAAACAGCTGCTGCCAGGGTGGGGCTCATGAGGTTGAGCCCTGGGAGGTTCTGCGCTCCCTACAGTCTTCTTATCTCCTAGTTTTTTCTTCTCCAAATGGGAGTTAAACTTTAGCTTATCCTCTTTCTTGCCCCACCACTGTATGGAGGGCTTCTGTTTCCACAAGGAGCCGGTATTAACCCACAGGAGGTAATATTACAAGAAATAAGACAGTATGTGCACACAACACAGGTCCACACAACACAGGTCCAATAAGCAGGACGACGTGACCAGTGCTCTCATTATCAACTAGTTCAGTGACTCTGAATCAGCAGCTCTCACTGCTCATTTGTCGCACGTGGGGCACTAACCTGCACGGACCACGTGCTGACGGCAGCAGAGGAGAGCGCTGCAGAGGACGGCTGCCCAGCTCTGCATGTGTGCCCTGGCTCTGCTGCTAGTCACAATAAACACATTTTTCATATTAATTTATCAAGATTCCTGACTCTTATAATGCTTACTATTTTCTTCAGATGAAGATTCAAAAGCCTTAATTAAGGCCATGGTGTAGCACAGGAAACTCTATGAGGGCACTAGCCATTTATCTACCCTGGAAAAGTCTTACTTCCTTGGCCATGACTACAAAATTTTTTCCAGGAAAACCAGATTTCTGGTTGGTGAGGTCACAGATGCCTTCTGCTGACCTGTTACTGGGTAATCAGCACAAGGAGTGATTTAGAAAGGATCTAAACACTGTAATGAAATTCTTGGCCAACTGTGTATAGTTATTCTGAAGGTAAAACCCCTGGGTCCTGGAAGGAAAGTGGCACACAGAAGAGGGGGGCACGTCCTCTGATGTCCCTGCTTTCCCCAACACTGCCCCAAGGAATACCTAGTCCTTGCTTCAGAGGCCTCAGTGTTTCCTGACTGTGTGGACACGTGGGCTGAGAGGCTGTGTACACCATTGGGGAGGGCCGGGTCCCGGTGGCAGCTATTATAGCTGCTGCTGAGTTTGTGAGAAATGTCTTAGCTTGTAACTACCGATATGTTTTGAAGAAAATAACTGGATTCCAGATCCTTTTTGTAACAAAAGCAAAACTCTAGGGGAAAAAAAACTTTGGCTCATTATTTCCCCTTAATCTACTAGTATGATCCTACCACTATCTAACTTCAATTTTTAAATTCATAGTTTTAAACCCCTTCAGTGCACCATTTACAATGCATTCCTGGATTTAGAAACTACTGGTGATACTCTTTCCCCTCACTCACTGTAGCAGGAGGCACTACTCTTAAAGGCCACACTGGGTCATCTCTGCTTCTCCTCACCAAGAGAACTGAGCTTTTATTGCTTACGTGAAACAAGGCAGAGCTACGTGACTTTCTTTGGCAGAGGGCACATGTGCCTCTTTAATTTGAGGCTTTTTAAAAGTCTTAACCAACTCTCCTTTTTCACTAAAGCAGCTAGTGCTGGTGGAGCCCCTATTATTCTGAGGCACTAAGTGAGAATGGGATAAACAGAGGACTCTGTCCCTGCCAATTTAGAAGGACATGGAATAAGAGAAAAAAATGAACTTTTGCCTGTTAGACCGTTGAGAGGTAGCCATTGTTTGGCCTACTCTGACTAAAAAAAATCTTACTTTTCCAGGTGTGGAAGAAAGAAATGTTTGGAAATTTTCAGGACTTGTAGCTTGGCAATGAAAAAAGTAAGAACGTTTGGTGGAAATGTGGCAGGAGGCAGGGGGTGAGGAGTCAGTTCACCAGGCCACGTGAGCTAGTCTATGGACAGACATGCTGATCCAAAGTAGCCTCTTCTGCCCTGATTAGATTTTTATTCTATTAGTTACACTGTCCAATTAGAGTCAGTAAATAAACACTCTTTTAAAAATGTAGGCAACTTTAGGAGTATTTTTTTT